CCAACATTTTTCTTACAGGATCAGAAAGTCCTTCCAGCAATGTCAGGCATCTCGGCCCTCTTACCTTTCCAGCTGTGGGTAACCACAGTCTTAGACAATGCTCGGGTTAGGGTAAGTTAAGAGGAAAATGGTCATGTTCAAAACGATCTAAGAGCAGAAACCCATGGAGGGTGGCTTGAGGGGTTCTCAGACATTTCCTTAATCTACTTCCCTGAGGGGAAAAATCTGTGAAATCTTTCTCACAGACTGCCACTAAGTAAGAATAAATGGAATCATGTATTTTCTTCTTGCATGTACTCAACTGTTTCTAAAGGACTAAGCGAATCCTTTACGAGCAAACTGTTTTCATTTCTCTACAAAGTTAGTTCTCGGCCACTGAATGCACTAAATACAAAGGGTTGAAAGGATTGTTAAATTGAATGCAAGTATTCATTCCAAGTGTTTTATATGAATTAACTTAGTCCTGTATAAAGGTAATTGCTAACATTACCCGCTCTTCACATATGAAAAAATCTGAGAAACAGATACATGATTTGCCTAAGGTCACACAACTAGTATTTGGTGGAGGGGTATAGTTATTTGGCCTGCAAGAAATCCACCGAAGGGACATAAACTTTAAGGGACTTCATGTCTGTTTTATCAGCTGAAAAGGCAGTGAACATCTATTATTTTTTCCCCATTGATATCTAGGTTTCCTTCCACTAATCATGATGATTTATTTGCCCTTATCAACATATGCAATGATGTGTGTATTCCCTTACAGTGAATCCCATGTATCCATGGGATGAGTTTTATATTGAAATTATCAGAGATGCCTAAGGTACTTCGGAAGATCACTTTGTCTTTGGCACTTTAAACTCATTGTTTGTCTTGCATTCCATTACTCAGACTTTTAACAACTTTCATTTGCAGATTTTGAAGTTTCATAGGATAAATCATAAATTGTACACATAGATTTAAAATGTTCTCCTTGGGAGTGCTTTAGTTTCTGGAAATTGCAGTAAATCTGAGGATGAGCAAAAAGGTAAAATATTTGTATACAATATTAAAGCATTGCTGAGAATTTCTTGGAAGACTTAGGAGTTGTAAACTTTAGATCAGTGATTCTAACTGAGGATAATTTTGTCCCTCATTTGTCATACTGGGGATTGTTACACTGGTGGGATGCCACTGGCATCTGGTGCATAGAGCCCATGCATGCTGCTACTCACCCTACAATGAAGAGGAAGGCCCCCCACACCAAATCACTATCCATTCTCAAATGTCAATAGTGCCACTGTTGAGAAGCCCTGGATTAGAACAATAAAAGCTTTTAAAGGATACATTTTTATAAATCACTTTTGAAAAGTTTCTGAGACAAAGTATTTTCTATACAGTGTACTGAACTCTGTATAAACATAATGCAGATATATATTTACTATGTATAAGAACTGTGTAGTCAGTATTTGTGTGAGCATGCACACAAAAAGATTGAATTAAAAATACATTCTTTTGTGAACTACTTGGGAGAATCTATTTCTCTAGTGTATAAGTGTTTATATTCTTCTTTCTATTTACAGGAAAATGGATAATACAATGTTTAAACATAATGATAGTCATTTTTTGTGTACATTTCTTAGAGCATAGCACATGTCTTATTCTCCACTGTATCCCTCAGAAAACCCAGACCAGTTCTTTAGACACAATAGAAATTAAATAAAGTATTGGATGAATGTATGGGAAGATGAATGAACAAATGAATGAATGAATTATAATCTATGATTTTAAGTTTACGTTTCCATTTAGCCAATGTATACTTTAAGTGAAAATTGTCAGAAAAAGTCTGCAGAACAACATTATCTAACATCAAATTCAAGTTTTTATCTTTATGTAAGGTAGAACATGGGTCTCAAACCCCTTGGCCATGGACCAGTACTGGTCTGTGGCCTGTTAAGGACCTGGCTGCACAGCAGGTGGTGAGGGGCCTGCGAGCGAGCATTACCACCTGAGCTCCACCTTCTGTCAGATCAGCAGCAGCATTAGATTATCATAGGAGCACAAACCCTACTGGGAACGGCGCATGTGAGGGATCTAGTTTGCTCCATCCTTATGTGAATCTATGTTTGATGATCTGGGGTGGAACAGCTTCATCCTGAAATCATCCGCATCCTTCTCACCCCACCCCCCACACCCCAGTCCGTGGAAAAACTGTCTTCCATGAAACCAATCCCTGGTGCCAAAAAGTTTGGGGACCACTGAGGTAGAAAATAGGTTTTAAAGTTTTCTTGGATAAAGCCTATTTGGAGGACCTAATTCCAGATTTCAAGGGGCTGATTATGGCAAGCACATATAAGTGGCTCATTAGTTAGGATCACTTGTTATAAAGATGCTACGGCCATCTATTTATACATAAATAAACATTCCTAAATGTATAATCTCATAATAATATAACCTGTGTCATTATGGCAACTGGTCTTAAGGTGAAGCTTCTGAAATTTTATGTAAAATCACATGTGCTTTGGCATAGATACTATTCTAAAGTGACAGTATCAAACTTTTATTGGATCCAATATTGGGTCTTCGCCTCCCAAAGGATAAGAATGCCAAATGATCTGTGGTAAAATAATGAGTATCAGTAAATATGAGGGCAAACCTAGGTTTTGGCACAAAGGAAAGTAGTAGGCTGAATCCAATAGTTAAGAGCTTCCTGAGCACTAGAAGTTTCTAAAGTAGTGAAAGCGCAGAGACAAGGGGTGTCATCCAAAGTCAGGTATCTTGTGAGGCATCCCATAATAAACCATAGAGGAGTCTAGGTTTCACTGAACAGAATATAATATTCTGTGGGAAAGTCATGGACTAACTTAACTTTCATGTAAGGTGCATTCCCAGGAAACTTACAAAACTATCTAAGGCTAAGATTAAAACCAATTAAAAACCTTCACCATTCTCTAAACCCATGATTATGAAAGATGTTACTAATTAATCAAGGACTTTCTTGAACCAGATCTTCAGCTGCAAAACTCTGTGTCATCAATTCACCAATGAATTCACTTGATTTCAACAAGAAGTTTCATGGTTACCAAGGAGGCAGGGCCTTTTCCACCTTTCCCTGTGTCCAGCTCTGTATCCCAAGTCCAAACAGCAATCCCCAGCTAACTAATCTAACTAATGTCTGATGATCTGAGATGAAAGAGTTTCATCCCAAAACCATCCATCCCCCTACTTCCCTCCTCCACCCCCACCGTCCATGGAAATACTGTCTTCTGTGAAATCGGTCCCTAGTGCCAAAAAGATTGGGGACCGCTAAGGTAGAAAATCGGTTTTAAAGCATTCTTGAATAAAGTCCAACTAAGCACCAAGAGATGTCCAGTTTCCAGCAACTGTGCTTTGAAGCCTCACTGTTCTCCTTTCTGTGTATCCCTCTCATGAAGAAAATTCCTACAGGCAGCAATTGCTTTGAAAACTTTTTCGGTATTTCTTAACCCAAGGTTTTTAAAATGTACTAAGTGTCTTCATAATTCCATCCTCCTCCACTTCCAACTTTCCATCTTTCAACCTGGATCTTTGTATTTCTCCTGAGAAAAGTTACATTTTCCAAACGTTCATCTGGGTATGGCCTCTTTACAGGACCAGTATGAGTCACTACATAAATTATATACATATATATTTACAAATTATCTAAAATCTAAATAACCGTTAAAATATATTTATAAGTCTAGCCCTTTGAGCTTTGTCCTGAAATACTAATTTTTAGGAGCCTGACAGTGTGTTTATTTATGTAGCCAATGAATATGTTATCAATAAAGGTGAGACTGACTTTTCCCCTAATGGGTTTGATTTACCAGGAAAACGAACCTAAGTTCAGAATAAGGGTAGAATACAGGCCAGAATTTTGTTCTTGAAAGAGTAAGAGGACTTCCGGTTTTGAAAACCAGAACTGAACTCAAGAATAATAAAGTGGAGATAACAGTACACATCTCGGTTTGGACGAAACCTAAGAGTGGACAGAATCAGGGAAGGCTGGCCTTCCTAAACATTGGGGCTTTCCGGGGCGGGGAGTGGGGAGGGTAATGAGCTTAGCTATGAAATCCTGTGAGAAATTCCAACAAACACCAGGAAAAAAGATACACTCTCTTGAGCAATATTACTGAACTCAGACTTACGTTTGATTCAGAATGAATGTTCTTTTCTAATAAATTAAATCATGATAATGGCATCTTTCACGAATTTAAAAACGTGTTAAATGGTATCACATATCTAGAACATAGTGAGGCAAGCACGAAAGCGGCATCTCTTGCAGTCTCCTTGCTTTCAGGAAAATCATTATTTGTGCTCAGCTAACCGGTCCCTTCCAGAGATTTCATGCTAGACTCAAATCTAAGCATTTATTATAAAAGGATTTTCATAATAATAAGAAAAGGAAATTAAATGTTTCTCTTTTCTCCAACTCAGTCTCCAACAAGGCAGGAAGAACTTTTAAGGTGGTGCGTTAGTTTAAGGAGAATCATTAACCATCCGGATTCTTTAACCAGGCTAAAGGCAGGCTCTTTGTCTCTAACTTCCGATCACTAGCGCCCTCCTCGGGAAGAAAAAAAACGACAGGTTCCTTCCACCAACAGGCTGCTCCCTGTTTCTGGTTCTCATAAATGAGAAATAGAGGAGCTTTGGAAGCCAGTGGCAACGATCGAGGGGATTGCTAAAAGGGGGTGCTTCTTCCCACCAAGAACACTTTGGACGTATCTATTTATTCATTTGGATGGGTCCCAAAAATTCATAGCGGCAAATCTTTTCTGGAAAATCAAATCGTTTGGTGAGCAAAGGCATGGGGGAGCGACACCATGGCACAAGGGGAGGGGAGAGAGAAGCTGGCTTTTGCACCCGCAGCTCAGTGCCCCACACGCATCGCAGAGCCACGGGTGCCCACTAGCAGGGTCGCCTCTCGGGGGCCCTCTTCCGCAGCCCAGACCCGGGACAGGAAGTGGGGGAGCAGGGACAGACCCGGGGAGGCGCGCGCTTGGTACCCGGAAGGCGGCGGCCTCATGCTCGCGGCTCCGCTGCCAGGTCGGGGTGAAGGAGGCGTGGGAGTCCGCATCGCCGCCGCCCCGGCACAGAAGCCACAGCAGCCACAGCAGCGTACGGAGCTCCATTAAGGCGCCCGGCTCCTCCGCGGCCTGCGCGGCCTGTTTTCTCTTTCGGTTCCTCGGCTCCTCCCATCCTGGGCTCGAGGGGCGGAAGGAACCCGGTGGAGTGCATGGTGCTGAGATTGACCCTTTTTTAGGTCCCCGGTGCACTGTGACTGAAAATCTGGTTAGCTGGAGGCTATGGACCTCCTCATTGAGGCTAGTTTTTTGTTTTTGTTTTTGGAAGAATCAGGCACTTGACCATGTGCTTTCAAGGTTTTACCTCCGTCCATTAGAAAAAAAAGAAGCCCGAGAGTCATTCTTTGTGTGTGCGTGTTGAGATCAGGGCTCACTGCAGCCTCGACCTCCCAGGTTCAAGTGATCCTCCTGCCTCAGCCTCCAGAGTAGCTGGGACTACAGGCGCATGCCACCACGCCAGGCTGTTTTTGTATTTTTAGTAGAGATAGGATCTTGCCGTATTGCCCGGGCCGGTCTCGAACTCCTGGCCTCTAGTGATCCGCCCGCCTTGGCCTCCCAAAGCGCTGGGATCACAAGTGTGAGCCACCTGGCCTGCCCTGTGAGCCCCCGGGACGTGCCTTGTTCCTTCTTGCCACAATCCCTAAGTTCAAGACCTGGTTCTGAAGTGACGAGGGCCAATGCATAGTCATCCATTCAGCAGATGTTTATAAATACGTAACAAAATTGTACAGTTGTGAAAAGCCTACACAATTTTTGGATCTATTATGGCAGTTTCAAAACTCTTGGAGTCTGTTTCTCCATTTACAAAGGAAGATAGAGCCAGGTACATAATTTGCAGGGCCCCGTGTAAACTGAAAATGAAGTTCACTTGTTTATAAATTGTTAAGGATTTCAAGACGGTAGCAGCAGAGCATTAACCCAAGCCATGATCCTTCTAAGCACCCACTTCTGAACAGGTAACACACTCATGAACCTGACTCTACTGAGCCTTTCTGTTATAATCTATTCTGAACAAGGCTTCCATGTCTCTGAAATTCATATCATTACCCTTGTGGATTTTTAGAACTAACATCAGATTTATGTCTTTAGTTTTTACCTAGGTGCAGTGAGTTACAATATTCTCTGATGCAAAATCGGTAATAAAAATAAAAATAAAATAAAAATAATGTTCTGGGTATTAAGAGGAAAGACACGAGAGTTTTTTATGTACATCCATGATAAGAAATATTGCTCTTGGAAAGTGTGGTGATGAAGATTTTATTTAAACCATAAGTTCACAGAACAATGTTCATGTTAACCTCAGCAGTTCTTTTGCACTTAGCCCTTTCTTGTAACTCATACAAGCACATGCTTTTCTTTTTCAACTGAGGTTTGCTTTCAGATCATAGTCCCCGTTTATTGACAACCTACTGAGTCAGGAAATTTAAATATAGGCAGTCATCCTTACTGTAGGATAATTGCTATTGTAAAAAACCACTTGAACTAAACTCACTTCATGAGCTCGCATCAAGTATTTGTTGAGTACCTGCTAAGTGTCAGGCATTGTTCTAGGTAATGAGGATTTATCAAGTAAGTGCATAAGTGACTAAAGAGATGAAAATCCCCATCCTTATGGGGCTGGTATTTCAATGGATTTACATCAACAAATATTTATTGAGTACTTCCTAAGTGTCAGGCATTGTTCTAAGTCATCAGGACACACAAGTGCATAAGTCACTAAAGAGATGAAAAGCCCCACCCTCCTGGAGCTGGTATTTCAGTGAGGGAAGAGCCGCAATAAAATTACTACAGGTGGAGGATCCCTTATCCACAATACCTGGGACTGGAAGTGTTTCAGATTTCAGACTTTTTTCCTCCAGATTTTGGAATATTTGCATATACATAATGAGATCTCTTGGCGATGAGACCCAAGTCTAAATACGAAATTCATTTGTGTTTCATATACACTGATGCACATATCCTGAAGGTAATTTTACTATTTTAGATAATTTTATGCATAAAACAAAGTTTTGAATGCGTTTTGACTATGAACCACCACAAGAAGTCAGGTGTGAAATTTTCTAGGTGTGATATCATGTCAATACTCAATAAGTTATAGATTTTGGAGCATTTTGGGTGTTTGGATTAGAGATGCTCAACCTGTACATATGTTAAAGGACAGTAAATCCAGATAAGGAGAGTCATGAGTTTGAGGGGTGGTATTGCTATTTTAAATAAGCTGTTTAATACTGTCCTCACTGATGAGGAGACTTTTGAGCAAAGCTTTGAAGGAGAAGAAAGTGACCCACATGGATATCCAGATATCCAGGGAAAGAGAAGCTAAGATAGAGAGAATTGTCAACACTAAGGCCTTGAGATGGAAGTTTGCTTGGCATGTTCCAGAAACGTAAAAGAAGTCAGCATGGATCGAGTAAAGGAAAAAAAAGAGGATGGGAGGAGAGTAGAATATGAGATAAATAAGAAGCACGCAGATTGTAAAGAATTTTGGGTCAGTTAAAAGGGAGATCAGAATCATCTATTACATAGTAAAACAAAGTTTTTGAAAAGTGTCTTGAAAAGTGAAGGTGGCAAGTATGTGCTAATTCTTAGAATAAACACTACAAATTACATGTATATGTGGAGATGTACTTTTTTCATCAAATTTGCAGAATAGCACATGGAATTTCCTTCAACTCTGTATTAGATATCTGTTACCACATAAAATATAACCCCCAAACTTAGCATCGTAAACATATGAATTTTTCTTATACAGTTTCTGTGGACCTGGCAGGAGCAGCTTATCTGGGTGGTTCTAGCTCAGAGTGTCTCAGGAGGTCGCAGACAAGCTGTTGCATATGGCTGCAATTCTCTGAAGGTTTCCCAGGGTTCAAGGATTCAATTTCAAACTCGTGTGACTGTTAGCGGGAGTCCTCGGTTCCTCTTAGGCCTTTGGACAAAATTCTCAGGATCTTATCAGAAGGCTGGGCTTTTCCAGACTGCTCTTTGTTCCTGCAGAACAAGTGACTGGAGAAATTGAGACAGTGGACCAGGAAATGACTGAGGTGGGAGTAGCAGTGTCTTTTTATAACCTTATCTTGAAACATACCATCTCTTCAGCCATTGGTTACACAGAGCCAGTTTGGTAAGATGTGAGCGGTGGAGCTGACATAGGGTGGGGTCGTCAGGTGCCATCTTGGAGGCCCACTATGTTGGACATTATAAGCTCAGTAACAAACGCAGTCATTTCTTTATGTGTGAAAATACTCCAGGACTAACCATTTTCACAAATGCCTCTCAACCTTTATGATACACATATCAATATTTACTGTTGTTTTTATCCCGTTATGCACCTTCTGGGTTTTCGTCTACTTTTTTTTTTTTTTTTTTTTAGACGGAGTCTCGCTCTGTCGCCCAGGCTGGAGTGCAGTGGCCGGATTTCAGCCCACTGCAAGCTCCGCCTCCCGGGTTCACGCCATTCTCCTGCCTCAGCCTCCCGAGTAGCTGGGACTACAGGCGCCCTAGTTTTTTGTATTTTTTTAGTAGAAACGGGGTTTCACCGTGTTAGCCAGGATGGTCTCGATCTCCTGACCTCGTGATCCGCCCGTCTCGGCCTCCCAAAGTGCCGGGATTACAGGCTTGAGCCACCGCGCCTGGCCTTTCTTCTACTTTTAATCATGTTACTTCATGTTTCAGTGACTTTACTATAGAGTTAATTTGTTTCTTTGTTTCTTTTTTTATGAGACAGAGTATCTCTGGCTCAGGCTGGAGTGCAGTGGCGCCATCTCGGCTCATTGCAGCCTCAGCCTACTGGGTAGCTGGGATCACAGGCAGGTGCCACCACACCTGGCTAATTTTTTGTATTTTTAGTAGAGACGAGTTTTCACCATGTTGGCAAGGCTGGTCTCAAACAACGGACCTCAGGTGATCTGCCCACCTCAGCCTCCCAAAGTGCTAGGATTACAGATGTGAGCCACCGCACCCAGCCTTGTTTTTATTTTTACTTGATACACAACACATTCATGTGTTTGTTATGATTTACCACTGTACTAAGCATTTTGCAAATATTAACCTTAATTCCTCCTTGCAGAAGGTAGTATTATCATCATTTCTGTTTTATAGACGAGAAAACTGAGGCAGAGAAAAGTTAAGTACTAAGTGCGTGAGATATTGGAAACCTCATATAATCAGCTAGAGATGATTCAATAATTTGAAACATAAACTGAGAAAAAATGCTAGGGTTAATCTGGGGAAAATATTGGAATGAATACCAATTGTATAAGAGATTAGGTATTTAGTGAGTTTTTCACGATATGAAGAATTTTGCATCCCCGCAACCTCGTGATTGCAGGATTTCAGATGTTTAATACACTGATAAGAAGGAACCATGTCTATTACCGCTAATCCTTACAACAACCCAGCAAGGCAGAAATTATTGTTCTCACTTTACACATGACGGAACTGACATGTATAGCGATTAGGGTCTTATTCAAGATCCTAAGTAGTAAGTGGCCATGGTGAGATGTAAATTGAGCTGTCAGACTTCAGAGCTCATGCTTGGGTTTTCTTCTACACCAGCCTGCTCTAGGGAACTCCAAGGCCTATCTTGCTATTTGTCATTACTATTTCTATTTTATATTGGCTTTTCTTTATTGACATACCTTTGGGAGTACACTGTGAGCTTTTTATGTTCCAGTTTAATTTACAGGCAAGCGTGACATTCGGTAATAGACATGAGTCATTGTAGTCCCTCTAAGTTGAATTGTTCAGGTTTTTTTTTCCCCTGTTTAATTTTTTTCCTATATCATGGGAAGAGACATTATTTCTCCAGGAAGCTATTTGGATTGTGTGTGAGTTGAAAAGGTTGATTATCTTTAATCTTAGATTTTACACCTGAATATTTTACTAATGCCAAGAAATCCTTTTTTTATTGTGGTTGTTAATTAAGTTCATAGTCATTGCTTTGTTCTTAACGTCTTATAATGGTGACATTCCATAGGGATAATGTAAATCTTGAATAAGAAAATGAATTACATAAATTTCTAGGTAAGAGATGTTCAAACTTCCTTTCTGGCCGAAATTGAAGAAATGCTGTCTGAACAGACACTGCTAAGGGGCAGGATTTGTCGGGTAGTA